ATTTCGTTTGCCAATATACAAACAGTATAATTTATTATGATTTTTTCATAAATCGTATACAAATAGCTAGGGTAAACATATGCAAAATTCTGGATTTATACAATTAAGAACCGAAATTAGGCGAATATAGCAAAAACTGGAAATATTGTAGCCGCAAATTACAATTTTCTTAAATTGTAGCTATAGTACCTAATATAGGCTAAATGTTTGCTATACTGCGTAATTTTCCTTAATTATATTCTATGTTTTTTTTTCTATCAAAGTGCAATAATTGGCATGAGAATTTGAGATTTGAAGTGGTCAAGAAAGATTTTGGACAACAACTCTTTAATTCTTCTCAATATAATATAAATCCATACGTAACTTCCAAATGAGATTAATTTGATTCGAAGTTACAAAAACATGTACATCCAAATAAGATTAATTTGATTCTAAGTTACAAAAACATGTACATCCAAATGATATTAATTTAATTCTATCTTGCACATGGCATAAACGTATATGCTGCCACTATACAGACAAATGTTTTGTTAATTATTCAAATAGAAGAGTCAAAATTTTTATTAAAGAATTTAAAATATAAAGAAGTATTTAAGAAAACTCAAATAAAAAATAATTTTAATTATATAAAATTATCCATCAAGAAGTTTAAATGAGTTTAAATGAATCCCTTGCACTCCTATGGCTCTGCCCGTTATTTCAATCATGTTGTTGGTTTATACCTAATTACTAGAAGAATATTCTTTGGCGCCTTCCTTATTTGTTTGAAATGGGGTCCTTATTACGAAATATTTTTTATTATTGGACAACTAGAGGAGATGCTACCTATAATGGGCCAAAAGTATGGATATCCGAATTTGACGCCATAATAAACGGGAAAATTATATAACAAGGCAAATATGTGATATATATTTATGATAGATCACTATAGTTCAAAATATTACAATTTATAGTTATATATAGGATTCTCTCTTCTCTCTCCCTCTCTCTCTCTCTATCTCGCCCCTCTTTCTCTCCAGCCCAACAGTTGCAGCCCAAAAATATTACACATAAATATGACAATAGTATTTTGTATTATATATCAAATGTATTTGTATTTCATATTAATTGTATTTTGTATTATGTATCAACTATATAAGTATTATGTATCAATTGTATTATGACAATTTGTATTCTACCAATTGTATTCGTCGATATAAATTGTGTTCTTTAATACAATTGATACAATTATATTCGTTGTATGATACAAATCAATTGTGTCAATTCTATTCAGACAATTGTACTTGTATTTGTATCAATTGTACAATTTGTAATTTGTATTAATTGTATTTGTGATACAACAAATATAACATGTATTCATCCTCTCTCCTTCCAGTGATCAAAATTGTTTAACATTGTCACGCCCCGAGGCTACCCCCTTTACGTGGACACGGGACCTAGGATCCCGAATGACCCCAAGCTAACCCTGAGCTAGCATATCATAAGCATGCTTAACAAATACTGTGCGGAAGCTAAATCATGAAATAACTGAAATGATGGGGAATACCCAATACTCTCTATATAAAGAGAAACTATGAGTTTTAATAAACAATTAAAGTATCAAACTCGAATCTAAAGCTGAATCTAACTATGTCTGAAATAAGCCTCTAACTGACTAGAGATGCTAAGACATGTCCCCAGCTAACTCTAGCAAAACTGAAACTAAAACTAAAAGCAAAGGAAACATGTATGTCGTCCTCGGAGAATGATGACTCACCACTGCTACTGCTGAGCTGAACATCGGGAACCAACCTATACGTGATTTGGAAGCTGAGGACCTGAACCTACATCATGAGAAGATGTAGCACAGAGTATGCGTTAGTACTTGAAAGGTACTGACTATGTAGGATAGAATAAAGATGAATGATAACATAACTGAACAAAGCATATAACTGGCAATGATATAAAATAAGCATGATACTATACTGCAACTACTGAACATTAGCTAACTGTATGCAATTACCGAGTTTATAACATGCTGAGATTGAAATCTGACTATAACTGATAACGCGGTCAATGCAATAGAATCCGACTGTAAGGGAGCTACTAATAACTGACATAAAATCACATGAGCTAAATGTGGAGTCCGATATATACGCCCCATCGAGAGGACCCAATATACCCTGCCAGAGGTATAGAGGCATGACTGGCGTGATCACTAAAATAATTCCCACAGAGGGGACTTACAACCTATGGGGCACGTAGTTTTGGGACTTGAGGGTGACTGACCCTAGTCCACTCGGTATTAAGCTTCTCCCAATTGATTATGTAACTAGCACATTATGACTGAATTTATGTAATACTGGATAGCTCAAAATACTGACATGCTAACTGAAATGCAATATTAATGAATTGATAATGAAACATTCAAATCTGAGGCATGCATATCTAAAATATCTGACCTAGTATGTGTAATTCATGAACTAAAAGAACTACATAGCTAGGGTTCTGGATTTATGAAGGAATCTACGCAAAAGCATACAAAAATCATGATAATCTGATTAGGAACATTAAAGTAACTAATTCATAGTGATCTGCTGAAATTCTAGAAACCCTAGGTCTAGATAATATTAAGGGAATTAAGAATCTGACTGAATTCTAGGGACCTAATGGGTGAAAGGAACCAACTAGTGGAATCCCACATACCTGGAGACGAATTCCATGGAGAAATCTTTCGATTTCGGCATTGAAACTGATGAAAACCTGTTGCATTCTTGGACTAAGGCTTGGTCGACGCTTTCTCCTTCTTCTCGTTCAACTTGATGAATTTTAGGAGAATGGGTTGACTTGGGTAAAGTCTAATTAAGTTACTAGGCTAAAATTGGCAAAAACTACGTAGTTTAGGGGTTAAACGATGTAATTTAGGGGTCCAACGCATAGGGAAAAGACCAAACGATCCCTGACTTAAAAACTGTCAGGGTTACCGACGTACCAGACCGACGGATCGTGGCTGGACCGACTGTCTGTGCTGGTCGGCCGCCGTTCGCCTACTGGGAGTTGAATAATGGGGGTCTGACCTACGACCCTGGACCACAGACCGTGGTCTGACCTACGGTCCGTAGGTCCAGAATAGGCCAAAAACTCCAGGGCCATCTGGGAAGGGCTGCAGGTGGTCATCCACAGACCACCAGAACGGACCGTGAGTCACCCTACGGTCCGTAGGTGGTGCCCGTCGGTGGCACATGTAACTTCTGAAATCTGCAATTTGGTCTGTCTAGGATACGGGGTGTTACAAACATAATAGAGACTCACGTTTGTTTAACAATATTTGTATTCAATATTAATAAATTTATGTATTTACATTCATACTTGTATCTTTGTGTAAATAATTATATCTCAGTGATCAAAATTATATTACATAAATGCCCATGTATTTGTATCGTTATCAAATATGTTTACAAATACAGTACAATTATCATAACTTTGTATTTCAAACAACCACTTATAATATACACTATAATTATTATAGTTTATCCGATAATGGATATCAATAAACAAAAACAACTAGCCATATACTTTATCAAGATGATTCTTTTTCAGATTGTGGATACAATATTTATCAAAACGATAACACATACAATATTTATCAAATGGATTCTTCGATTGCACTAAACATTACAAAAAAATATTTCTACAAACATTCCATATTCATTCTTATTTTTCATTCAAACAAATTAAAATTAAAACTACCCAGTAAAACTAATGCTCCCACTTAGTTCATAGCAGGAACAATTTACAATTATCAAAACTTTTCATAGCCATTTTTGAATCAATGGAATGTTAAAAATATATATTCGAAATTTGATGAAGAAGGGGGATTGGTGCCCTAGTCATTTACTTTTGAAATTGTAAGTGATGAGAATTTTAAGTAATATGTTCAAATATTTTTTTCGTGATTTTCTCCTTTCTGTTATTAAATAATTGTATTCTTTCAAATCAAACAAATAAAAAATAAATAAATTATAAGAATAACTAACTAAAATATTGACATTTTAAATATAAATATTGAAAATGTTGACAAGAAGTTTTATTAAATGCTAAAGTATTGACGTTTTGAAAATTTTCTCAAAAATATAATTCCTTTCTACCCAAATTCAACTTGATCTACCAAAAATACCCTGAACCCTTCTCTTGCTCTCACTTAGAGCCATCAAAATGGGCTTAGCCCATGAGGCCGACCCAATCCAACCCGTTATTGGGGTAGGATTGAGATATGATTTTTCAATCCCATTTAAAACTAGGGCTTATAAGCCCAACCCATATAAGTCCTTGACCCTTGAGGCTTGATTTGGATCGGGCCGGGGTCGGCCCATGGGCCAGAACTATTTATTTAAGGGTAACTTACGACAATCTCACTAGTTTATAACTAATTAGTTAAATTCAAGCTATGTTGTTATATTACGAATCTTCTCAGATTTTTGTACATCTAGTTACATGTATCTCAAAATTAGGTTAATTTGTTTTAGATACACTTTATCCAAGTAAATTCGCATGTATCTAGAATACATAGATAAATTCGTGCCTTTGACTCCCTTCCACCTCACTCGTCACTCTCTTATCTCAATAGAGTATCTGGGATACATCATACCCAAATACATGTATCTTGCGTATCTAGTATCCTAGATACATGCTAATCATACTAGATTTTTTGCTAGTGTTATTGAAACAACACCATCATTTGTCATATTTGATTTGAAAATCTTCTCATTTCGTGATGTTATAGAATTTAAAGTTTGAAAAAAAGATATGAAAAAAAAAAGAAAAAAAACAAGGGCTAGCCCCCCTCAGCCCTTGGCCCTTCTAGGATTGGGTTGAGTTGAACATTTTTAGGCCCTTCCAAATGAAGGGTCAACCCGCCTTAGCCCATCAAATTTCTTGGCCCGTGAAACTTGGGTCGGGTGGGACTTTTTGACAACTCTACTCTTACTTCCATCATCTTTACACTCCAAAGAGCTGATGAAAACCTAAGCCTGTCTTGCAACTCAACTCCCTCACCCAGAGAATCCGCCAGATTTTACGCTCAGATCTGCCACCCCTATCAATCATCTGTGAACATAAATAGTGCCCTAGCTTCTCTAAAATGACTGAATTCAAACGTTCACATTTTCAAATCTTTTGAAAACAACAAATACAATTAAAAATCTGCGATTCAGATTCAAATGTTAGGTTTATACATTTATTACTTCATGTTCATCTTATCTTCGTTGCCTCTCAATCTATTCAAAGAAGTGACTTCTTGTTTTATTGTTATTTTTGAATTCGAGCAACCCATATTTCAAACTAGATGAGCCCTGGTTTTTCACTATAAATAGGACTCTTAAACTTTCTCAACAGACAGAGATTTGGACATCAAAAAGTCTTTTCTACAACCTTAAGCTTAGAGCTTCTATATTCTGAGTTTCTTTTGACTAAAGTTCTTTGCTACGTCCTTTGGAAAATCTGTCTGGATCGATAGCGGAGTTTAAGACTCAAAAGCACTAATTCGTTGCCCCTGAGAAGGTCCGTGTTTCTCCTCTATCACCTTATTTAATTCATAGAGCAAAAATAGTCTTTTGAATGTCTTGCTATTTGTTAATTTTTTGTTTCAAGTATTTGTTATAATATGTTTTTAGTATGCTATATGACTAATTGAAAGTAGAAATCCTAACAGAGAAATTATTGGTTCGTCAACTCATCACATATGTGATTAACTTTGTTGCTCGTCGAATTTCTATTATTGAGACTAGTTAGAATTTGCTATACTCTTGTTCTGCTTCGAAATTGGTATCTAAAAGGATAAAATAAGCTAGCAATGCTATTTTAGCAAATCTGGAGAAAATGTTTTTTATTGTTGTGAAACATGATTTGCAATTTATACTCTTTTTCATAAAAGTCGTGATTTAAATCATGTGCACATACGAATCCACATTATAGATGGTGGCTCTATTAAAAGAAAAAGAATATTGGTTGAGTGTTTGAGTAAATGTTCTTCTGCCGATTCTTTTGAGCTCTACGTTTTGTTCTAGATGTCGTAAGGTTTATCCTAAAAGAAAATTGCTTTTTCTACTCGATACATTTGTTAGTATAAACAATGTAGCTTTTTTCTTCTCTTTTTTTCGCCTGAACACGTCATTGAGTTTTGAGGTTATAAAAAAGAAAATCTTATTTTTTCTCACATAAAGTTGTGCCATCTTTTAAAGTATGAGAGAAGGCACAAGTACCCCTAGACTATGATCGAAATCCCAGGGACACCCCTTACCTAAACTAAGATCCTATTACCCCTGAACTCATTTTATATATAATATTGTGCACCTTTTGGCTTCTGTGGCACACCCCGTGACTCCACGCAGTTGAGGCGCGTGGGATATATTTGGATGCCACGTAAACCAAAAAGGTGTACAAAATTACAAATAAAATGAGTTCAGGGGGGTAATAGGACCTTAGTTTAATTAAGGTGTGTCTCTGAGATTTGGGTCATACTCTAGGGAGGTACTTCTACCTTTTCCCTTTAAAGTTAGATGTCTATTTGTTTACTTGGATTAACATAACTTTTATTATGAGACTTGGCCCCTTTAAGAGAAAATAATTTGCAGAACACAGGTATGCTTCCTATATATAACACCCTTTCTCACAGATAGGCCTTTGATATTAAATGGATAAATCTGTTTATATATTTTGTTCACGTGAAACTATTGTTTCCTTGTCTAATGTGTTGTGATGATTAATACCAATTTAATGACGATAAAAGTTACCTTGGCTTAATTTTAAAACTTGATTAGATGAGATGTTTGTTTATTGTCCTACCATGCTCATGAATATATTAGTTAAAGGAATTTTCTTTTATTCCATCAACCTAAAGTTATAGAAGAATGTACGTATTGGTTGGTTAGGTGTTACAATTTACTTTATGCTCACTGTTAAGGTATTTATGTTGGAGTTGAATAATTAAAATGTATATTTGCATCACCTAACAGTAAGTTGCATTTCTAATCCTTATTCTTGTACACGTACACTTTGGGAGCAAAAATGGAGTCTCCACGAAAGACTCTTGCTACCGCATTGTCTCTTGCTGCCGCTAGACTTTGAAAATGTGCATCCTCCCTTTACCTATGTGCCTCTCGCTTCCTCGAAACTCATCCGAACTGAAATGGCAAAAACAGCCATGAAAATCCGGAAAATTACTCTATTTTAGTCGTTATTATGTTTGCTTTTATTGATATTTGCTGATATGTATTATGTGAAATCTGATGAAACTATCGATATAACAAGGATGACGAAAAACTGTGAAACTCCATTGAAGGAGAACAGAGAGAATATCTCAGATTGTATATAGAAAATGAATGAATAATTGTGTATTACAATTGAGTAACAACTATTTATAAAACTGCTATCTGTAACTAACTCTAATTATCAACAACTAACTAACTCTAACAAACTATGGTGATGTGGAGAATAGAACCTTCCATCCTCTTTTACAAATATCATCTCAACATCCCCCCTCAAGTTGGAGGTGGGATCAACACACCCAACTTGTCTAAAACAGCTGAATGTTTGATTCCTGTAAGTGACTTAGTAAGGATATCAGCCAGTTGATGATCAGTTCCAATATGATGCAATGAAATAAGACCTTCTTGGAGCTTGGTTCTTACAAAATGACAATCAATCTCAATGTGTTTGGTTCTCTCATGGAACACAGGATTCCTGGCAATTTGTAAGGCTGATTGACTGTCACAATAAACAGGAAATGGACCACTTCTATAAACTGTAAGCTCCTCAAACAATCTATCTAGCTAGACCAATTCACCAACTACTTTCCTAAGAGACCTGTATTCTGCTTTAGCTGAATAGAGTGAGATGGTTTCTTGTTTCTTGGACTTCCAACTTATAGGACTAGAACTAAGGAGCACAATGTATCCAGTAATAGATTTCCTGGAATCAGGGCTTGATGCTCAATCAGAATCACAAAAGGCTCGAGCATTATAGTCATCAGTAGAGGTCATAAGCAATCCTAATGTGGGATCTTTCTTAAGATATCTGAGCATGTGATATGCAGCTTGCATGTGAGGCTCTCTAGGATCTTGCATAAACTGGCTAAGATGTTGTACTCCATATGCAATGTCCAGTCTGGTATTGGTAACAAAATTCAACTTACCAACCAATTTTATGTATGTACTGGGATCTAAAATAGGCTTCCCCTCATTTTCCTTGAGTTTAACTGTTGCATCTAGTGGAGAACTAAGAGAAGAGTACTCAGAACAATGGTTTTCTCTCAGAAGGTCTAGGACAAACTTTCTTTGTGAAATGAGAAGCCCAACATCAGTATAAAGAATCTCCAGGCCTAAGAAGTAATGTAGCTTACCCAAGTCTTTTATCTTGATATGGTTGTGGAGGAATCCTTTGAGACTATCAATTTCTTCAACCTGTTAGTAGGATATCGTCTACATAAAAAGCTATGAACACAGTGGAGGCACCCTTTTTTCTGTAAAACAAGGAGTAATCATTTAAGGAGTGAATGTAACCCCTTGAACTGAGGGAATCAAACAACTTTGCATACCATTGCCTACTGGCTTGTTTGAGACCATACAATGACTTGTTTAGCTTACACACCAACCTCTTTGTAGGAATCTCTAAACCTGGTGGAATGGCCATATACACTTCCTCATGCAGCTCACCATGAAGAAAAGCATTGTTTACATCTAGTTGATAAGTATTCAAATGCCTTTTTACAGCAGTAGCAATTAAGGCCCTTACAGTGGTCATTTTGATGACATGAGAGAGTTTATGTGTAGTCTATCCCAAAGTGTTGAGTGTACCTTTTAACAACTAGCCTAGCTTTGTACCTCTCAACACTACCATCAGCCTTGTGTTTAATCTTGTATACCCATCTACAACCAATAGTCTTCTTGCCAAGGGGCAGAGGTAGTAGATCCCAAGTATGATTACTATGGAGGGCAGATAGCTCTTGTGTCATAGCTGCCTGCCAACCAGGGTCCATAGATGCCTCATCATATGAAGATGGCTCACAGTCATTGTATATATTTAATACAAGAGACTGACTATCATGATACAATACATCAGAGGAAATGTGACGGTGGTTTGAAAATGAGGCATGTAATGAATGTGGTGGATGAGGTTGATGTGTATTATACTGGTAGTCATGAAGATAAGTGGGTACTGTAGTGATTCTAGGTGATCTTTTAACATGTGGTACATGGGAAGGCTGTGAAGATTCAACAGTTATGTGTTCAGGATCACATTGCACATTGACATTTTCAGGTCCACTTCTCTCAAGATCATTGTGAATTTCAACAGAAGGAATTGAGGTGGACTGATCAACTATAAGAGTAGAAAAATCAACAAACTTATCAAGCTGAGGACCCTGATGAGACTTAGTGGCTTGACTGCTTATGGAAAAAGGAAACATTGTTTCATGAAAAATAACATCTCTTGACACAGAAATCTTGTGAGTGGCCAAACTTAACACTCTATATCCTTTGGTTCCAAAAGGATAACCTATAAACACATGAGGGGTAGTTCTTGGATCAAACTTGGTTCTGTGAGGTTTAGGTGTGGTGGGATAGCACAGACAACCAAAACTTTTCATGTGAGAATATTTAGGCTCTTGATTGTAGAGCAATGTGAATGGACACCTATTTTGGAGGGTGACATATGGTAGCCTGTTAATGATGAAAGTTGCAGTGAGTATGCACTGCCCCCAGTATTTTATGGGCAATTTAGACTGGAAAAGAAGTGCTCTTGCAGTTTCCAAGAGATACTTGTGTTTTCTCTCTACTACACCATTTTGTTGTGGTGTGTAGGGACATGATTTTTGATGTAGGATACCTTTAGACTGAAAGAAAAGAATAGATTTATTGTTAACAAACTCTAGGCCATTGTTTGATCTTATAGTTTGGATAATGGTGTGGAATTGAGTTTCAACCATGTTGACAAAAGCCTTTATGATGTGTAATGCATTACTCTTGCAGGTCAACAAATGTGTCCAAGTACACCTACTAAAGTCATCAACTAAGGTAATGAAATACTTGAAGTTGTCATGAGTTGCCACATAATATGGCCCCCATAGATCAACATGAAGTAATTCAAATATTTTGGTAGTTGTATGAGTTTTAGGTGGAAAAGATAGTCTAGTTTGCCTTGCCATAAGACATATATTGCAGGTAAAAGATTGTTTGGGTGAGAACCTTATTGGAATGGAGGATAGACTCTTCATTTTTCCAAATGGAGCATGACCAAGTCTTTGGTGCCACAATAGATCTATGTTACTGTTGAACTTATGAGTCATATTAGATGTACAAGACAATTTAGGTAAGGAAACAGAAGCACTTTTATTATGAATAGTATTCAATATAACTGGAGTAGTGTTCATTACAGATGGTGTTGCATGACATGAAAAATAAGCCTTTTAAGGACTACAATAACAAGAATGGGAAAAACATTGACAGCCTATGGGAGAACACTATTTGGACTGCTACATTTATCTGAATCCCTTGGAGAAGCAATAGAACAGCTCTTCTGTAGACACCTTGAACAAAGAAAAGGTAAAGTCCTTCATGCACCTTACCAATCTCCAGAGGCCTCTTCATTGAAGGGCCCTGCAAACACAAGATGAATTAGAAAAGGAAGCAACACATTTAAGTTGGACTGCTAAGGAATTTACTGAAACCAAGTTATACTTGAATGAAGGGACAAAAAGGACTTTATGCAATGTGATCCTTGAGGAAAGTTTTGCAGTTCCAACTTCAGTTACTTTTACTTTATATCCATTAGGTAATCTAACCAACATAGGGTATGGCAGTATGAGGATATTAGACAAGTGGTTTTTGTTAAAGGTCATGTGATGTGTGGCTCCTAAGTCTATTATCCATAAATCAGTCTTTGTTTTGAGACAGCCACATGAATGTTTGTCAAAATCAATAGAAGAGCTACAAGCTATCATACTTGCAAAGTTTGCTGCACCACTAGCAACATGGTTTCCTTCAG